CCCCCCCACAGCTCCTATCCTAACCCTAACCCGTACCTCTACCCCCCACAGCTCCTATCCTAATCAGCCTGGATCCAGGGAGGCAGATTTACCCACCGGCCCCGGACAGGACGGCCCCTCTAAAGCCGTGTTTTTTACAACCACCGTGCCTCGGCGCACTAGTGCAGTGTTTTTCAACCTTTTTTGAGCCAAGGTACATTTTTTCATTGAAAAAATCTCGAGGCACACCACCAATCAAAAATGTCAAACAAATCTGTAGCCGCCCTCTACTAACACTATAGTTATTCTTATTTTATTCTTATCTTAAGTGTCTTGAATAGGATAAACAAAAATGTATTTTTATCATATCTTATATTTCTTCTTTCAAATTGCAATTAACATGTCCACTTCAATATACAAAATTATATACAAAATCTAGTCATAAGGAATTATTACATGATTACGCCACCAGTCACTAGAACAGCACAGACACTCCAAAATTACATTAAGACTTTGTGATAAGGAATTAATTATCTGCAAATAATATGTAATTTTGGAGTGTTTTGGAGATTTGTTTGACATTTTTGGTTGGTGGTGTGCCTCGTGATTTTTTCAATGAAAAAATGTACCTTGGCTCAAAAAAGGTTGAAAAACACTGGTGTAAAGGCCCCGCGAGAATCACCCACCTGAAGAAGGTGTGGTGCTCCACACACACCTTCCACAGCTTCTTGGCCGCCTTGTAGTTGGGGAGTTTGAAGCCAATGGCACTTTCATACTGTTCCACCTGTCGAAATAAAGCCAAACTTTATTGTTATTATTGTTATATTATTGTTATAATAATAATAATAATCATCATTATTATTGTTATTATTATTATTGTTGTTGTTATTGTCGTTGTTATCGATATTGTTATTCTTATAGTAATTCTAATTATTATTATTATTATCATTATTATTATTATTATTATTATTATTCTAATTATTATTATTATTATTGGTAGTAGTAGTAGTAGTATTATCATTACTATCATTATCATTGTTATTATCATCATTATCATTATTATTATCAATATTATTATTATTATTATTATTATTATACATCATTGTATTAAATACTATATATGCTGTACTATTATTAATACCACACTGTTTAGTTACAACAACATTACCATCATCATCTTCTTTATCTTCTTTTTCTAGTTAGTTATTGTACCTCTGTATTTCATTTTTATCATATTATATTCTAGTATCGGACTATCTATCTATCTATCTATCTATCTATCTATCTATCTATCTATCTA